AGGGTCCCCGGGCAGCCCCACCCAAAGCAACCCGACCATCCTCCCCCAGTGTCCACAGGGTCCCCTGGCAGCCCCCACCCAAGTTTTATTCACTGGTATTTGTAGTAAAAGTCACGGGCAGGTCACAGGCAAGTACCTGTGACTAAAACATAGTCTTACTCATAAGTGATAATAGTTTTCTATATTTTCAATTGAAATTTGCTGACTAGATCAGTCTCAAACTGAAGGTTGTGCACCAGTAGCAGTAGATTGCGTGTCTATACTTAGTACTGCACAGTGAGTAGATACAAGTATACATGAATTCCTAATCTAATGCTTCTCCATTTGTAAGCTTTTGTACATACAATGTAGCATCTAATCTGCCTGGTAGAAGGTTTTAATTTGTAAATACCTATGCATGCAGTATTAGCTTTTAAAACATTCTATAAACTTGTTTTTTAATTCAGTGACATTTATGCACAGGTCAGTATTAGTGTTAGAGATGACAATACACACCTTCACATTAGGAAAATGCAAAAGCTACGATAGGAAAATGCAGCCTATAAAAAAGTAATGAAGTCCACAATCAAGTCCTTGCCTCTGCATCGAAGAGAGATGAAGATGTTACAGCTCTTACGAACCATGTGATCAATAATACGATAAACTCACTTGGCCCTGAATCACATCCAGAGATGCTTATCAACCTATCTACTGGACTGCATATAGCATCAGATGTACAAAAGTTTCCACTGAAAACAGATGTTGGTGAAGAACAAATGGAAAAATTTGTCAGATGTGCCTGAAAAAAGGAAGAAAGGAGAGTAGCAAAATATGGACCCTGGACTTCAGAAAAGCAGACTTAGATTCTCTTAGGGAACTGATGGGCAGGATCCCCTGGGAGGCAAGGAGTCCAGGAGAGCTGGCTGTATTTTAAAGATGACTTATTGAGGGTGCAGGAACAACCATCCCAAAGTGCACAAAGAATAGCAAATATGGCAGGCAACCTGCTAGGCTTAACAGTGAAATCTTTGGTGACCTTAAACTAAAAAAGGAAGCTTACAAGAAGTGGAAATTTGGACAGATGACTAGGGAGAAGTATAAAAATATTGCTAGAGCATGCAGGGGTGTAATCAGGAAGGCCACGACAAAATTGGAGTTGCAGCTAGCAAGGGATGTGAAGGGTAACAAGAAGGGTTTCTACAGGTATGTTAGCAACAAGAAGGTGGTCAGGAAAAGTGAGACCCTTACTGAATGGGAGAGGCAACATAGTGACAGATGATGTGGAAAAAGCTGAAGTACTCAATGATTTTTTTGCCTCAGTCTTCACAGACAAGGGCAGCTCCCAGACTGCTGCACTGGGCAACACAGCATGGGGAGTAGGTGAGCAGCCCTCAGTGGTGAAAGAACAAGTTAAGGACTATTTAGAAAAGCGGGACGTGCACAAGTCCATGGGTCCAGATTTAATGCATCCAAGGGTGCTGAGGGAGTTGGCTGATGTGATTGCAGAGCCATTGGACATTATCTTTGAAAATTTGTGGTGATTGGGGGAGGTCCTGGACAATTGGAAAAAGGCAAATATACTGCCCATCTTTAAAAAAATGGAAAAAAGAGAACCCGGGGAACTACAGACCAGTCAGCTTCACTTCAGTCCCCAGCCAAATCATGGAGCAGGTCCTCAAGGAATCCATTTTGAAGCACTTGGAGGAGAGGAAGGTGATCAGGAACAGTCAACATGGATTCACCAAGGGCAAGTTTAATCTAATCTAATCCATTGGAGAATGGAAAATCTACCAGCTCCCTCGGTAGTTTGTTCCAATGGTTAATCACCCTCGCTTTTACATATTTGTGCTTTATTTCTAATTTAAATTGGTCTGGCATCAGCTTCCCATGAGTTCTTGTTATACCTTTCTCTGCGACATTAGAGAGTCCTCTGCTACCTGCTATTTTCTCCCGGTGAGGGTAATGCTACACTATAATTAAGTCACCTCTCAATCTTCTTTTTAACAAGCTAAAAAGACTGAGCTTTTTAATTATCTCACTGTAATGTATTTTCTCCAGCCCCTGAAACATTTTTGTGGATCGTTTCCACACCCTACCTAATTTTTCAAAATCATTTTTAACATGTGGAACCAGAATTGTATGCAGTCTTCAAGTCTCAGTTTCACAAATGCCTTACAGAGAGGTAAAAATCAACTCCCTACTCTTACTCCCCTATTTGTACATCCAACAATCACATTTTTTTTGTTGTTTGGTTGGTTTTGTTTTATTTTATTTTTTTTTGCCACAGTATAACACTGGGACCTCGTGTTGAATTATTATTATGAAGCCACTGTTTTTCAGGATACAATCCTCCATCCTGTAAGCACGGCATGCATTCTTTGTCCCAAGATGTATGATCTTGCATGTGGCTATATTAAAAAGCATTTTATTTGAATGGGCACAGCTTATGAAGCGATCAAGATCATTCTGTGTGAGTGCTCTGTCCTTATTATTTACAACTCCATCAATCTTTGTGTCATCCACACATTTTATCAGCAGTGATTTTATATTTACTTCCAGATGATTAATAAAAATGTTCCATAGTGACAGGCCTAGAACGGATCCCTGCAGAACCCCACTAAAAACACCCCATTTCAGTGAGGATTCCCTACTGACAACTACTTGTTGAGTGCTATCAATTAGCTAGCCAGTTCTTGATCCTTTAATGCATGTTTTATTGATATTGTAGAATGCTAATTTTTTAACCAGACTGTCATGAAGTGCTAGGTGAAATGCCTTACCAAAGTATATTAAATCTAAGCAGTTACCCTTCTAAAACAAGCTTGTAATCCTGTCAATTACACCAGCTTTGTTTGACAAGACCATTTTCACGACTTCTGTTTTTTCTCTTCCACTGGAAAACTCCTCTTTCCTCTCCACTCCTTCAGCAGCTACTTCCCATCAGACCCCTCATCTCTTTCTTTCCTTGGTGGCTCCTGTCCCATCTGCTCCTGCCCTGGGTGACTCATTTTCTGTTCCCCTCTCTTGATGACTGTGGGCCATGTATGAGATATGCTGCTACATAGAAATTTTGTGCCCTTAGCAAAGTAATTCTCCAGCTCATTGAGGTTAACTTCTACTTCCTTAAAGCCACCTTCTCTGAGCAGATGTTTTGTGATGAGGTTGACTTGGACAAAGGCCCACCGTACTAAGAACTTTACAATTTTTCAGTAAACTGGGATTTTATACAATTTTTTAGCAATCATACCAGCCAAGAGATATTAGAAGAATGTGTAAAGTAGGCTAACAAATTCTAATAAACCACATAAGAACGGACTGAATCCCAATAAACAGATGCTAAATTATCAAAATAAAGTAGTAAAGGTGCATCTCCAATCTCAATGCTAATGAGAAGATGATTCAAGTAAATTAAACCTTCAATAATATAGTATGTGAAAGCAAAAGTTCGATAACCTACCAAGGTGAGACTGCAATGGGTAAATCTGAGGGATAAGAAAAAAGAAGGGCCAAATCTTTGGAATATCTTAGGATAAACAGTAAGGCAATGATACAGATAAGGAAGTAATAGTACAACCCCAAGACCACTGTCAACTGCATGAGATCAGCACAAACATTTTAAAGTAGCATCCGAGGAAAATCCTGCCTCTCTCGGGAAGTCAAATACAATGGACATACATGTCAGAATAAAGTAGGAACAGCTGCTATTAACTTACACCTTCTTATACCTACTTTCCAGCTCCATGGAACATATGTTGCACCAACTCAGACTCTAACACATTGAAAATTAGATATAAATAGGTCCAAGGTAGTCACAAAATGTTATAAAGCCTTAGGAGTTTATGTAAGAGAATCTATAAATTACACCAATGAACACATGTCTGAAACTGGCTCAATATTTCTTAGTCATCTAGGTGTTACAGTGAATGATGAATCAAACACTGTCTTATAGTTAAATCAAGTACGCAGATTTTCAAAAATGATACAGTTGTTTTAAGGATTATGGAACTGGAAGCCAGTTGACTATTCAACAGGTATGTATGAAGCAGCAAATAAATTAGATAGGTTCCATTTAACACTTCAGACTGTACAGTTTTATCCCCAACATATCATCAGTTACTTTCAATGGTAATTTTTTCATTGACACAGATAAGCCCATCTTTTGCTTTTCATATATTCTCCTCCCCTACTATTATCATAGTAAAGATGCTAATTATGTGCCAAGTACTACATTTTAATTATTTAAACAACATTTAAGCTGTTTGTAATATCGCAATATGCAACTACTCAAAACATTTTTTTTGTATGCATACAGGGCACAAGAATTCAGAAATAACGGCTGTTCCAAGCATATGCCAGATGAATATGGGACAATGTACTTTTAGAGACACCATTGTGTCAATACCCATTTTAGCATTCGCCTGAGATACATCCCATCTTGTGACCCACTAAAACACTCCTCTTCCACAGCACCACCATCAATTGAAAAGTGTCCATTCCCGCTTATAATGTATAACAATTGTGAAGTACAGTAGCTCAAGTTATTCAAACAATGTCTTCTCAAAGCATTAGCATTTGTAAAGAATGAGAATGAGAGTTGTTCTAAGCTGCTTTGGAAATGTATGTTTCTTAAAAAATTTCTTCAAACTGCTCAAAGAGCATATTTGTCTTTAGAATCACCGTGCAAAAACTAGGATTGTGAGTAGCAAAAAAACCCTACTTTTAAAAAAAACACTGGCAAAGAAGAGCTTGAATGTCAATTCAAATTGTGCGCTAAACCTATATTTAAAAGATCCCAACAAAGATGGGGAAGGAGTGCAGTGAGTTTGAAAGGATAAGAAACTGATGTCTTTCTATTGTCATTTTGCCCCATTACAGCATCTTCAAAGTTTCCAGATGAGTTTTTATCTTGAGCAATCCTTAAGGCAATTATTTTCCAAATCCCTGGACAGCACGTTCAAATACCCACACCTCCCACAGACACATAAAATCATCTTCTCATGTACAATAGAAACTTCACATACCGTTGACACATTCAAAGACATCACAGCACTTGCCGGGTGTTCCGTCTCCACGTGAGACTATTTGGGGAATGGAGCCTGCCTCACACATGGGGAAACCACATAAACCAGAGAGACACTCGCATCTGAAACCAAAGAAAAGGAAGGGGAAATCCCATTAAGTAAATAAAGCCACATATCAGAGGAAAGCATAGAAAGGTGAAATAGCAGGATGCAGCAACAGAGTTCCTGCTGTAAAGTAATTATACAAATATTTTTAAATGACCTTTTATTAACACAGTGACCAGGTTTAACAAAATCTATTATTTTGGTGAATTAACTCTCTGAACTTTTGTACTAGGGGCTTAAATGCTAGCTGGTCATGCAATCATAAGGAGGGACAGGTGGAGGTTTTCAGATCCTGTGCTACACCCATATCTTTTCCAAGCAATATACATACAGGTACAGGTTCAGAAAGCAGCAGACACAGAATAATCTTAAGATTGTCTAACATGGGTTTACCCTCAAAAGGTGTTTGAGAAAAATGTAGATTGGTAAAAATTAACAGCAGCACCCACCCCTACTCAATATATGGAACATGTAGTCCCTCACCATTCACTCCCCAGGTATATCTTAACTGGGTTATAGGGGGGGAAAGGAAGAGAAATCATGCTTGATATCTACTGCCTTGACATCTTGGGTAGTCATTTACTGAGTACACATAACTGAGTACAAAACAGTACCATTCTGATTGGGTAGTGCTTTACTCGCATTTTGCAGAGGTGCAAATGATTACACAGGGAGCAAAGGCAGTGGAAAAATTGGACACTCAATGTATGAAATGTTTTGGTTAGTTTTGGATAGTGGATCACTACCATAGGCACAGTCTTTTTCACAACGTGTATGGTGCTTTTTAGAGAAAAGGTTAGAGTTGGAAAGCATAAAATCCTGATAAGAAGTAGTCTGAGATAGTCTCTACCTAATTTCCCTGCTTAAAAAAAAATAGCTCAGAGAAAGGGGAGTTCCATTTATTTGTGATGCATGGAATGTAAAGACATTATTAATATTGTTTATACAGTGACATCAACATACATTGAGCTGTACAAAAAATCATGTGTACCAGACATTTAGTAGCTTGTGCCTGGAGGAGTTTACATATTAAAGGTGTGAGCAGGCAGAACACAATAAAATACAAGACAAAATGAACACAGAGAGGATAGTGGTTATTACAGCTGAGAAGCTTCATAGAATTAATATTTCTTCAAAAGTTTTTCTGAGTGTATAGATACAAATTTTATGAAAGATGTATAGATTAACAGTAATTCACCACCTCATGGATGAACATGAATTTCAAAGCAGAGGGAACAGGCCCTATAAATATATTTTAAAGCAACTGAGGATTGAAAATTTCCTGGCTGCCTTTATAATATATTTAAAAATAGGCATACCATGAATTCCCTGTCCCAAATCAACCCACCTGTGTAGTGAGAAGCAGTTGGCTCAGAGGAGAAGTGAAAAATCTGGCTCTTTCAGACAGTAAGTCTTAAAGAGGAAAGGGTGGCTGGCTCTCCACTACCCCTTATTCCCCAGCTAAGATAGGGTGGAACAGCCAGGGAACATTTACAGTGGACAATATAGCAATGGATAAGATAAGCTGGGAACATAAAGATGAGGTAAAGAGTAAGTCGTACATAAAAAGTGTGTGGACAGAGCGAGCATGTTGTGCAGGGACTTGTTCCTACAAAGTAACCAAGCCAATCCCAAAATATGTGATGCAACATAATGTGTAAATTATATAAAGGAAGAGGTTTGCTGTGTAACTCTGGATGTATAAACAATGAGGAGTCCTCGTGGCACCTTAGAGACTAACAAATTTATTTGGGCAAAAGCTTCGTGGGCTAAAACCCACTTCATCGATGCATGGAGTGAAAAATACAGTAAGCAGTATAATAAGCAGTATTATAATAATACAGTAAGTAAATAATTACAGTATTATAATACAGTAAGCAGTATAGTAAGCTGCAATATTTATACTGCTTACTGTATTTTTCACTCCATGCATCTGATGAAGTGGGTTTTAGCCCACGAAAGCTTATGCCCAAATAAATTTGTTAGTCTCTAAGGTACCACAAGGACTCCTTGTTGTTTTTGTTGATACAGACTAACACGATTACCACTCTGAAATCTGGATGTATAGTGTGCCCTATACCCACCTCCTAATGCTTGAGTCTAATCAACTCAACATAGCTTTGCTGTATGCCAAACAAAACAACCCGAGTGACAAGAGTGGAGTCGAACCGAGGTCTCAGGGAGCCAAGTGGAAGAGGTTTCAGAGGAATCCCAACATCCTGTTCATTAACTTGGCTAGTTTAAATTAGAAACAATTATTGCAATTTTTTTTTGCCATGCTTCATATTTCCCCCCCCCCACCTGCTTGAATCGTGCTATTCCTTGAAGAAGTCTCTACTTATTGCCCCCATATGGTGTCATTCAGCTTTTCCTTGCCAGTTTTGACCTTCTCAACTTCCCATACACAGTCTTATGGGAAAACCTAAAGATAAAATATTTCAAAACAAAAGATAAAATATTGTGTAAGGACATCATACAGGTATACAAATTATTATATAGATATACCACAGGTGTCCATTTCCTTTCCTTTTCATGAGGAATAATTTATTATTATTTCCTTCATGAAGTCCTTCTCATCAATTACTATGAAATCTAATCGTCACCCAAATGGATCCCAGTTCCAACATGCTTGTCCACCCAGAAATTACTAATAAAACTCAGTGTTATAAGTGATTCCTCTAAAGGTAAGCTCATTACAATATTCCTGTAATCACGGACTTAAAGGAAAATGAGAAACTGGAGAAACCGCAGCATATCATTAAGAATACTTTCAGGACTCTCTATCATCTAAGGCTTTTCCAGACTAAACACTCATTAGTATTATTGGAATCCAGAACATTTCTAAAATCAGGTATAAAGAAAAGAAAGAGCTGGTGATGGAGCAAGGTGGCAATATTTCATATATTTTACACTTTAGTCATAAATTATGAGTTAATCTGGACTAGGTTTCCGAAGGAGGCTGTGCAATCGCCATCATTGGTGGATTTAACAACATCTGGACAAACACCTGTCAGGGATGGTCTAGATTTACTTGGACCAGCCTCAGCATCAGGTGTTGGACTTTTAACTTCTCAAGGTCCCTTCCAGCCCTAAAATTGTATAATTCTACTATTCTATAATTTTACCCTATCAGGTCCTACCTCAGTCATCTTTTCTCAATACTAAATACTGCCAGTTGTTTTAACCTTTCCTCAGAGGTCAGGTTTTAAAAAAAAAAAAATAATTAAATAATTTTTGTAGCTCTCCTCTGGACTCTTTCCAAGTTGTCCACTTCTTTCCCAAAGCATGGCATGCAGAACTGGCCACAGTACTCCAACAGAGACATCACCAGTGCCAAGTAGAGCAGGACAATTACCTCCTGTGTCTTACATACAACACTCTTGGTAATGCATCCCAAAATGAATTTAGCTTTCTCACAACTGCATCATATTGTTAATTCATATTCAATTTGTGATCCCTATAACTCCCAGATCCTTTTCAGCAGTATTACTGCCTAACCAGTTGGCTCCCATTTTGTAGTTGTGTATTTGATTTTCCTTTCTAAGTGTAGTACTTTGTACTTGTCTTTACTGAATTTCATTTTGTTGATGTCAGACCAATTCTCCAATTCATGAAGGTTGTTTTGAATTCTAATGCCGATGTCCGAAGTGCTTGCAACCCCTCCCAGCAAATTTTATATATAGTGTTGTGATAGACATGCAAGCATCATTCTGGGATTTATTAACAGAAATGCTGTAAGCAAGACATGAGAAATTCTTCCGCTCTACTCCATGCTGATTAGGCCTCAACTGGAGTATTGTGTCCAGTTCTGGGCGCCACATTTCAGAAAAGTTGTGGACAAATTGGAGATAGTCTAGAGAGTAGCAAAAAATTATTAAAGGTCTAGAAAACATGACCTATGACTGAGGGAAGATTGAAAAAATTGGGTTTGTTTAGTCAGCAGAAGAGAAGACAGAGGGGACCTGATAACAGTTTTCAAGTACATAAAAGGTTGTTACCAGGAGGAGGGAGAAAAATTGTTCTCCTTAACCTCTGAGGATAGGACAAGAAGCAATGGGTTTAAATTGCATCAATGGCAGTTTAGGTTGGACATTAGGAAAAAATTCCTAACTGGCAGGGTGATTAAGCACTGGAATAAATTCTCCAAGGATGTTGTGGAATCTCCATAATTGGAGATTTTTAAGAGCAAGTTAGACAAACACCTTTCAAGGATGGGCTAGATAATACTTAGTCCTGCCATGAGTGAAGAGGATTGGACTAGATGACCTCTCGAGATCCCTTCCAGTCTTACGATTCTATGTTGGTCCCAGGATATTAGAGAGACAAGGTGGGTGGGATAATATCTTTTAAAAAAAACAATCTCAAAAGCTTGTCTCTCATCAACAGAAGTTGGTCCAATAAAATACATTACCTCACCCACCTTGTCTCACAGATTTTATAAGCATACTCTCCACTTCATTATCCAATTCACTAGTGAAAATATTGAGTAGTACTGGACCAAGGACAGACCCCTGTGGGAACCCCACTAGATATATCCTCACAGTTTGACAGCCAACCATTGATAACTATTCTGAGTATGGTCTTTCAACCAATAGTGCACCCATCTTATAGTAATTTCATATAAACCACATTTCTCTAATTTGCTTATGAAAATGTCACTTGGAAGCCTTACTTAAATCAAGACACATTTACAGCTTCCCCCCATCCACTAGGCCACTAACCCCGTCAAAGGAGGAAATTAGGTTTAAATAAATAAAATATGTTGCATCAATAAGCCCTAATGAAATTTTAGAGAGTTAAAAAGAGAGCTGCTGTAATAATGTACAGATTTTGAGGTCCTCTCAAGCTTTATAAATATGTCAATGTCATGTACTTCATTAAATCTCTTATTTTCAGGCTTTACAATGGAGCCAACACTGGTATTTACATTTTCCAAATGTAAATATTTTCCATTTTGGTTGTGCCGGAATTCTTTTCACGTAATTATTTTGGTTTCAGTTTAGCTAGAAGATGCTGA